TCCTCTTTTAACAACCAACATATTAATTATATTACGACTCATCTTGCACCTACCTAACCATTTTTTTTTTTGGAATGCGTCTACAAAAATCACGATTCAAATAGTGTTTCTAAGTACTCCATATCTTAAAAAACATATTAATAACCTATTCATGTGTTTGATAAAAATAAATCTTCATATTCCCCGGTTCACATGGTGATTGGTGGAGGTAGACACAGAGAACATGCTTACCTTGACTTCGTCCATAATTCTAAATGAAAATTTATTGAAATACTCAACTAATTGAAGATCCTTGATTTTTTTTCCTTTAATATATATGCATAACATAAATAAAAAAATTAATTATATTTTCCCTTCATCCCTATCTATAAAAGAAATGAATGTATGTTCCACAATCACTGCGGTTAAATGGATGTAGGCAGTATTATTTTTTAAAAAATATATATAAAATTGTGGCCGTCACCGCGTTTATATATGGTCTTGAAGCAGTCATTTGAGTAAATTATGGCGTGCTGAATCGCCAAGCCTTGAATATAACGTGATATCCAAGTACAATTTAGTGTCGTCTAGCTCTCTTTCACTTTATTTTTGATGTTTCAGTTGAATGTAAAGAAGCTGAATTGAAACTAGCTGATACGCAGGGTATGCACATGCATGCATGCTCACTAATATAGCCATGCCAGCATCACAATTGGAAGGCAATTATTATGTTTCTAATGTTCTTGTGAATTCCCTTTTTATTGTCTGCGTGCAGAGATGTGTTTGTAATATTTTCCCTTTGAAGAATCAATGGGTCAAAATGTGGTGTTGTTCTGTGCGTTTGGTAATTTCTATTTTAGACACACACACGCAAGTGAAGTGGAATAAGGGAACAATTAAGCATGGGTTAAAATGAATGAATGAAGGCATGGATCCAAAAAGTGTGAATGAGAGGGATAACTTGAGCGTGAAAAAGTTAGTGTAATTAAGTAACAGAGACGCCTCTATACCTAATGTGTACAGTATCTCACAATTAATGGCTTTAGGCCAAGGCCCAGCGATTTGATGAGCTTCGTCATCATTCCAACATTATTTGCATTTGCGTCTAAAAGTAACTGCTTTTAGTTTTTATTATTTATTTTCCCCCAACAACTCAGTCTCTCTTTTTAGCGGTGTAATTCTTTCCACTGTTTTTTTCCCTTTAACTGTTCATATTAAATATCTACTTTTAAAAATTTGTTAAATTTAATTTAATGGTCAGATTTTCAGTGATTCCTCCCATATCTCTTATGTAAAAACAAAAAAAACAAAACAAAAGAAAAGAAAGCCAACCCCTTTTTTATTCTATCCTATTTCTTCACCCTTCCTCTTCTCTTTATTATTACATTATTTCTCCAGCCCCACACACATACACATCACATATATATATATCCCAATACACACTCATCGTTCACTCACTTTTATATTTCTGTGTCTGTATAATGATTACAGGTATATAGTATTTATATTATCGTATCTTCTCTACTTTTGTTCTTGTTGTTGTTGTTAATTTTCAAATTTAATTAACGCATGCCTGGTTCTTTTAGACTGGACACATTGATTAATATCCATATTAAGTCATCGTTTATCTAACTAAATGTTGCTGGGAAATAATGTTAGTGAACATGATTTAATGTGGGTACTTATCCTCGCATTAAATAGGTATGTAGTCCCCGACTGATGATAAAATGTTTAGTTTGATGGATGTTAATATAATTTTACAGAAAGGGTAAACCCAAGGTACGTAAAACCGGATCGGTCATTGAATCGGTTATGGCACTGGGTCACGGGTTAGTGGTTCAATTAGGGTTGAACCGGGGGTTGAACCGGTGGCAAACCGGTCATGATTAAAATAATATAATTTAAATAAAAAGACATTAATTATAAAAATATTCAACTAAATTCAACCACTCAAAAATCTAACAGTAATAAAATACAATATTTTAAATATCTATCATTACACTTACAACTTTTCAATCTCAAAAGTCTAGAGAAGAGATGGAAATAGAGTTGGAGAAGAGACGGAGATTGAGCTAAAAAAAAGACGAAGAGTCAGAGACTAAGCTGGAAAAGAGATGAAAATAGCAAAGACAGAGATAGAGCTGGAGAAGATATGGAAATAGAGCTGGAGCCTGAAGAAGAGACGGAGACAAAGCTAGAGAAGAGACACTGATTAGGTTAGGGTGAGAGAGGAGAGACACAGATGAAAGGCCGAAATAAATGCTGTCTGAAAATCTGAATTGGACTTAGCGTGCTCTATCTCTAATTTTTTATTTTTTGACTTTAGTTTTACTTTTTATTTATTATCTTATTTCTAAATTTAGCACTCTGAAAAATAAAAAATAAAAAAAAAATTTAAAAAAATAACCCGGTTAACCCAGTCAACCCACCGGGTTAACCGGTTATACCGGGTTGAACCCAGGTTGATCGGGTTACACCGGTTTATTTTGTCACCGGTTTAGGAGTAAACCCAGACCGAATAAGGGACCGGTCATCGGTTTTCGGGTTGACCTGGCCGGTCCGGTTCGGGTTTCATTACCATAGGTAAATCAATGCTTGCGTATATTAATTATTACATAATGCTCTGTTCTTTTTTTTTTTTTGTTTTAACCTGGGACATAATGTTCTGTTTATGCCCTTGAAATTTGGTACTATACGCACGCCTTTGATATGGTAATAATAATCCTCACCACCACTCTAACCACGCATCTTTAATGAGTGCGTGTCAAAGTCAATGTAATCTCTCACTTATCCTTAACAACTGGTTTTTTAGGGAAAAAAAAATCACCAAAGAGTTAATGACCACATTTATATGTGTTATTTCCTCCGAAATTATGAGCGCTATTACTGATGCTTATCAACAAACTTCTTCTCCAATGTACCTAAATGTCTTTCTCCCAAATTACAATGCGCCTATGGCAATATATGGGGGGCGTTTGGGAATCTTGACTTTTCAAAGTTATGCAATTTTTAATCTGATTTAATTTTCTTGCCTGAAAGGACATGCACAACTTTTTTAACTGTTATATGCCTATTAAATATTAACGTCTCTATAGATATAGTACTTGCCAGTGTTACAATTTCTACATATATATAATGTTCTGTCTAGGCTCCCAACGTGGGACTCTACATTGCAATTTGCAAGGCACGACTGAGAGAATCAAAGGTTTTTTTTTTTTGGCAAAAAAATAATAATAATTCCAGAGAGAGATCAAGAGGGACAAGCCCTAAAAATTTGGTATGAATATCACATGGGCATGGGTTAATTTGCAGCTTTCTCATGTGCCAATAACAATTCCGATCTTAATTTAATCAGTGGGTTTCGATAATTACCGATTTATCCCTCACCGAACTGTTAAAGCAAAGCCAAGAGTTGATTACATACGTCGTCGCATTCCTGTACGTTTCCCCCAAAGTCCAAAGCTGAGATGCATAGTAATACATCGTGTGCTGGAATCTTGACTTTTCAAAGCAATAAAATATATATTAATTCTGAACAATGTGGGAAACATGCATCCGATTTCCTGGCCACCAAGCATCAGCCTACAGCTGTTTTATTTTACTGCAAAATGCTCAATAATACGATCCAACCAGTTAAACGAAATTAAGAAGCCAAACCAGTACAATAATTAAAATACGACAATCACCGGGCACGTTCCTCTCTTTTGGAGAGAATTATACATATGCCAGGTTACGAAAATACGACAAGTCAGTTGCCAAAGCCTATGTATGATCTTCAACAATATATATATCAAATAAATATTTTTCCTATTGCTCCCAGGTGCTGAGGAAAATTCCATACAAGTTACGACTGCCAAACGAAGGAAACACAAGACAGAAATTTAATTAATTAAAACGGCGCCCGTGAAAAAGAATGTTCATATATTATGTTAATTTATTTTTCTGGGAAGAAAATTAATTATGGGAACGATTCACGGGGGGTCCAGAGAATTGATTTAAAAAATTGTCGTTTTCAAAAGAGCTCGGGGACAACCCTAAAGTTAAAGGCCGAAGCAATATTTTTCAATTATTATTTCTTGCACGAAATGAAACTCTTCCGGAAATATTTCTTTTTCTTTTAATTTCTCTGTTTATTTTTTTCAGCTCCAATAGCTTGAAAAGCTGCGCTTCCCCACTTGACGAGGTCGAGGAGTGTTCGCAACATCACATGGTCATCTAATAATTGAGGAATCACATGGCCCAGGAAAATTCTTAAAAAGAAAAAGGGGAAAAAAAAATTGAAAAGTGAGTGAATGAGGAAACAAGCCGGCACTTTCCTTTTAACATTTTCTTCCCCCATTCCTACTCCCCAAAAATGAAACAATTATGCGTACCATGTGTTGTGGGAGAACTTGGGAGGAAGTAAATTGTACTTGGAAAATGAATGTCGATGACGAAATTAAAATGAAATTTTGGTTTGTCATTTGCGGGCGGGAGCCCCACAAGGTGTGCGGTGGATCCAAATAAGAAATGCGCAGAATATTGGATGATTCTTGAGGATCAAAAGCTGCCAAAGACTGAGAGTTCGAAGCCACCAAGGAGTGGAACCGAAATGACCATTTTAGGATTCAGATATGGATCTGTATCTGGTTTACGGGATGAATTACAGCGGAAACAGAATACGAAAAGGAAAAGGAAAGAACAAGGGAAAGGCATTTTGGAGTTTCTTTCTCGTCAAGACAGGCAGGTGAGCAAGAGGAAAATGATAAAAGAATAGCAAGACTTTATTTGCACTTAATTTTTTTGAGAGTGGTTGGATGAATGGGGGCGACACAGTTGAAGGCAAATGGAGGGAGATGAAATGAAGCGGAGAGAATAAAAAAGTGAGAGGCCAGCTGGTGAGCCTCGTTTCATTTTTCCCTTTTTTTGCGATGCAGCCAATTGGATATTTTGAATCGGTCCCTCGTGACAGCTCCTCTCTAACGACTCACTTTCACTATAAGTACCGCCCCTTCCCTCCCTGCTTTCTCAGTCATCCCAGTCTCTCTCTCTCTCTCTCTCTCTCTCTCTCTCACGCAGAGAAAAAGTCATAGCATCAGTGAGGGTTTGATCAGAGCATTGGCCGGAAGTGGTCAGCTTTCTTCACTCCGTCCATGGTTGCCAGGCGTGGCGACCCCTTCAGGGGTCGTCTAAGGCCAATGGCCTTCACATTGGCCATTGTTCTCTTGTCCACCACTCTCAACTTGGTGGCTGCTGATGGTTATCCTTACTACTCTCCTCCACCACCTGCTGAGCACTATGAGTACAAGTCTCCTCCCCCTCCTTCACCGTCACCACCTCCACCCTATGAGTACAAGTCTCCACCACCACCTGTCAAGGCTCCTGCTCCAAAGTATGAGTACAATTCTCCACCACCACCATATGAGCACAAGGCTCCTCCTTATGAATACAAGTCACCACCCCCACCCTCACCATTTCCACCACCACCATATGAGTACAAGTCTCCACCACCACCTATCAAGGCTCCTGCTCCAAAGTATGAGTACAATTCTCCACCACCACCATATGAGCACAAGGCTCCTCCTTATGAATACAAGTCACCACCCCCACCCTCACCATCTCCACCACCACCATATGAGTACAAGTCTCCACCCCCACCTATCAAGGCGCCTGCTCCGAAGTATGAGTATAGTTCTCCCCCACCACCATATGAGCACAAGGCTCCTCCTTATGAGTACAAGTCTCCACCTCCTCCTTCAACATCTCCACCACCACCATATGAGTACAAGTCTCCACCCCCACCAGTAAAGGCTCCTGCTCCAAAATATGAGTACAAGTCTCCTCCTCCACCATATGAGCACAAGGCTCCTCCTTATGAGTACAATTCTCCTCCCCCACCTTCACCATCTCCTCCACCACCATATGAGTACAAGTCTCCTCCTCCACCACCATATGAGTATAAGTCTCCTCCTCCACCATCTCCAAAGCCTTATTACTACAAATCTCCTCCACCTCCATCGCCCACACCACCACCACCTTATTATTACCATTCTCCACCTCCTCCGATCAAGTCTCCAACACCAAAGCCTTACTATTACAAATCCCCACCACCACCTTCACCATCTTTTCCTCCACCTTACTACTACAAGTCTCCTCCTCCTCCCTCACCATCACCACCTCCACCATACTACTACCATTCTCCACCACCACCAGTGAAATCTCCAACACCAAAGCCGTATTATTATAAATCTCCACCACCTCCTTCACCAAAGCCTTACTACTATCAGTCCCCACCTCCTCCATCATCATCTCCACCACCACCATACTACTACAAGTCCCCTCCTCCTCCATCTCCTAAACCTCACCCACCATACTATTACAACTCTCCTCCACCACCAGTGAAGTCTCCAGCGCCAAAGCCATACTATTATAAGTCTCCACCACCACCATCACCAAAGCCTTACTACTACCATTCCCCACCGCCTCCTTCACCATCTCCATCCCCACCATACTACTACAAGTCCCCTCCTCCTCCATCTCCTAAACCCCACCCACCATACTACTACAACTCTCCACCGCCACCAGTGAAGTCTCCAGCACCAAAGCCTTACTACTATAAGTCTCCACCACCACCATCACCAAAGCCTTACTACTACCAGTCCCCACCACCCCATCACCATCTCCTAAACCCCACCCACCTTACTACTACAACTCTCCACCACCACCAGTGAAGTCTCCAGCACCAAAACCTTACTACTACCAGTCTCCACCACCACCATCACCCAAGCCTTACTACTACCAGTCCCCACCGCCTCCATCACCAAAGCCTTACTATTACCAATCTCCACCACCTCCATCACCATCTCCTAAACCCCACCCACCTTACTATTACAACTCTCCACCGCCACCAGTAAAGTCTCCAGCACCAAAACCTTACTACTACCAGTCTCCACCACCACCATCACCCAAGCCTTACTACTACCAGTCCCCACCGCCTCCATCACCAAAGCCTTACTACTACCAGTCCCCACCACCTCCATCACCATCTCCTAAACCCCACCCACCTTACTACTACAACTCTCCACCACCACCAATGAAGTCTCCAACACCAACACCTTATTATTACAAATCTCCACCACCACCTTCACCAAAGCCGTACTACTACCACTCTCCACCACCTCCATCACCAAAACCTTACTACTACAATTCTCCTCCTCCACCTGCTATCTACCCTCCACACCCCTACCCCCACCCCCACCCTCACCCTTACCCCCACCCCCACCCCCACCCTCACCCATTGATTGTCAAGGTTATTGGTAAAGTTTACGTCTACAAGTGCTATAATGTGGAGTATCCAGAGAAGTCTCACAACAAGAAACACCTTAAAGGTACAAAACTTAATTTTCTATTTTTAAAATTAAAGTTAATTCGTTTATGTTTTAATAAATTTTAGCTCCAAAGTCCTTTTCATTTTCATTTAACAAGCTCTTTTTCAAACTTCAACATAAATTTCTTTATTAACTTTTTCTTATTCCATGTCACTATCTCTTTAAAAATTTGCACTATACTTTTCATATGTCTGGCTTGACTTTTTTTCCATTCGATAGGCCTGTTAAATTTTATTTACAAATGTATATGTGATATTATAATTTTTTGTTGGTAAATAATTATTATACAAATTAACTTGTATTTAACATTTGAGAAAATCTTTTGAGAATTTTCCTTTATCGTTAATTAGATTAATTTTAAGATAAACTGAAAAAAATTGTTCACATATATTGATATTACTATGTTATATATAAAGTTTAATTTATTATGATATATAAAATCATAATTTAGATTTCAAACTCAAAAGCTATACATCTGGTTGATATGACATAGAGATATTTATTATTTATTAATAATTATGAATCCAAAATGGAATAAAGCAAATAATTGGCTTCAAAATGCTGGTAAAATAAATAGTATTTGTATAATATTTCTTTTCAATTGTAACTATATTTAATTACTAATTACATCTTGAACATAATTATTGCATATAATGGGGCAGGTGCTGTTGTGGAAGTAGTATGTCAAGCTGGAAAGAAGACCATCAAGAGCTATGGTAAAACCAAGATCAATGGAAAATACAGTATCACCGTTGAGGGCTTTGACTATGCCAAATACGGTGCCACTATTTGCAAGGCTCACCTTCATGCCCCTCCTAAGGACTCACCCTACAACTTTCCCACAAAGTTAAATGAAGGAACTGCTTTAAAGGTGTACTCCAAGAACAAGTATGAAGTTGTGCTCAAGGCTAAGCCTTTTGCATATGCTTCCAAGAACCCTCATGATCAGGAGTGCCCCAAGCCTAAGCCTACTCCTGCACCATACTATTACACAAGCCCTCCTCCTCCTTCACCTGAGTATAAGCCACCTTACTACTACAAATCGCCTCCACCACCATCACCAAAGCCTTACTACCCACCGTACTACTACAAGAGCCCTCCTCCACCTTCGCCCGAGTATAAGCCACCATATTACTACAAGTCTCCTCCACCACCTTCACCAAAGCCTTATTACCCACCGTACTACTATAAGAGCCCTCCTCCACCACCTTCACCTGAGTATAAGCCACCCTACTACTACAAGTCTCCTCCACCACCTTCACCAAAGCCTTACTACCCACCATACTACTATAAGAGCCCTCCTCCACCTTCACCTGAGTATAAGCCACCTTACTACTACAAGTCTCCCCCACCACCATCCCCATCTCCTCCACCACCGTATTACTACAAGAGCCCTCCTCCACCTTCACCCGAATATAAGCCACCATACTACTACAAGTCTCCCCCGCCACCATCCCCATCTCCTCCACCCTACTACTACAAGAGCCCTCCTCCACCTTCACCCGAATATAAGCCACCATACTACTACAAGTCTCCCCCGCCACCATCCCCATCTCCTCCACCCTACTACTACAAGAGCCCTCCTCCACCTTCACCTGAATATAAGCCACCATACTACTATAAGTCTCCCCCGCCACCATCCCCATCTCCTCCACCCTACTACTATAAGAGCCCTCCTCCACCTTCACCCGAATATAAGCCACCATATTACTACAAGTCTCCACCACCCCCATCACCATCTCCACCACCTCCTTACTACTACAAGAGCCCTCCTCCACCATCACCCGAGTATAAACCACCCTACTACTATAAATCTCCACCCCCACCATCCCCATCTCCACCCCCACCTTACTACTACGAGTCTCCACCCCCACCAATAAAAGCTCCAGCTCCTAAACCTTACTATTACAAATCTCCACCACCACCATCCCCATCTCCACCACCACCTTACTACTACAAGTCTCCACCCCCACCGATTGAGGCTCCAGCTCCTAAACCATACTACTACCATTCTCCCCCACCTCCTTACTACTACAAGTCTCCACCTTCACCAGTCGAGGCTCCAGCTCCAAAACCATACTACTATCATTCTCCACCACCTCCTTCACCATCCCCGGTACCTCCTTACTACTACAAATCCCCTCCCCCACCATCCCCGTCTCCACCACCAGTCTACATCTATGCTTCCCCACCACCTCCAGTTTATTAAGCTTGGAATGCAATAGAAAATCCCAATATAAATCATGTAAGTTAAACTACTACTTACAAATGATTGTTGCATTCATATACTTACATATATATATATATATATTAGTTTTACATTCACATATCTTGAGTCATTTTTGGAATGTTTCATCTTCAATATGATTTCAGGTTTTTCTAGTTTTCGTCGTCAAATAAAGGCAGGCTCCACTTCGAGCAGAGTTCAAGATCTAGCTTCCAGTTTAAGTTCTTTGAATAAGAGTCTGAATATATTATCACCGAGCTACAATCTCCATGATTCAGACAGTGTTGCTTCTATTTCTTTGGTGGCCATCCTGAACGTCATGTGCTTATTGTGTTCAAGTGACAAACAAGGCAGAAATAGGAAGCGAGATTAATTTAAAATGTATATGCCATTTGAAAGTGACGAGTACAATCTGCATTAGTGATCTCCTTTAATTATTTATGTATAGAGTTAATGTGGCCGTGTATGATTGGAATTTTATTTATTGTGTCATTTTTGAATTTGATCCTGCTGTGTTGTTTGTAACAATGGGCATAGTAATAATGGAATTCATTTTTCTTCCCCTTCCTTTTTCCAAGTTTTGCTTGTATAGTTAACCACTGCTGAATTTTCAAATAGCTCCAAAGTCAACACAAAAAGGCTTCCCATACCCAATTTCTAACAATCGAGAGTGTTCCAGAGCCAAAAGTTCAATTCCTTTTTGGGGTTTTCCAGATCTTGTAAACTCCTGCTGCGAGATGATGACGCACATCGCTCTCTAGCTTCTCTCTCAAAAAGAAAATATTAAATTTAAGTGAAAACATGCCTCGGATGTTTTACTGCTCTCTGTCCTCCATCTCCTGAACCTAGCAGACAGACGTGGTCTTCAGGTCCTTAACAAGAAGTTAGTGGCCAGCCTGTTGCAACTTATTCTCTTTGTTGTCCTCTCTCTTGACAAGCTATAGCCATGATACCGAAACCAAAAAATAAAAAATAAAAATCAATATGTGGCCATTTAATTTCTTCTTGTTTGCTGTTTCCACTCACTGCAAATTGAAATTCTTCACGAGAACTTTTTCTTTTTCTTGTTAATCGTAACTAGCTAGCTAGCTGAATTTGGAGAAGTACAGTTGATTTTCCATCTCCATCAATATTCAACCTGAATTGTCCTGAACGTAAAGTCCAAAGAGCATCACCATTGATGAGATAAAAGACAGATGAAATAATTAGAAGCACTGACTATTATCTTTCTTCTTTGGTTGATGGAAGCACCAATAATTGTTATTATCCATTGGATTCCTAACTGCACTTGACTCATTATCCATATTTATATAAACTCAAAAATGCAAGACTCTAATGCTGAGGTTCTTGAGATCAAGCTGGCACCACTATCTATAAATTAGCATGAACACACCATCACACATAATACCCAGTATTTTAATCAGTGGGCCTTCTATTATAGGTTAAATAATTTCCTACCCCATTTATCATATAGAGCCCATTTCAATTATTTTCATTGATTTAACATTGAAAAACAGTATTTAGTGACCTGAATTGATGCAATGATTCATGCTTTTAGGAACTTACATGTCACTAACACCTTTTTTTCAAAAAAGAATGAAAAATAAAGCACATAAAGATCAATAATTTCTTCAGACACTGCCTGCAAGAAAGAAGATTTAATTATATCATGAAAATGGGAGAAAAGTGGCAACTTGTTCTAAAGGGGGCGGACATGAAGATGGAAAAGAGACTCAACTTGATGTAAACAATCTGGTATAGGAAAGTTGTGTGGGCGTGTTCCAATTGTTATTATTCATGGTGATCAAGATGTTGCGTTGTATCCATGAACGTAGATTCTTGAAAATATAAAAAACAAAAAACAAAAAACAAAACAAAACAAAAGAGAAGGGTGGGGTTATGAGGATGATGATTATATAAGGATTGGTCGCCATGGAAAGCATCTTTGCTCAAAGAAGTTGGAATTTTCAAGAGTGAGAAGCAAACAAAACGGTGAAAGTGACAAATGCTAGGATTGGATATTTGGAATGGAATGAAATAGTAGCAATAGACCCAACAAAGTGACAAGCAGAAGCCGAGAGTTGGGTGAATATATCCAAAATAATTCATTGCTTTTTTCCGCGCCATGGCTGGCATGCAAGTCATTCATTAAAGCTGTTTTTCCATTCTCTTCTTAACTGAACAGAACTCACCACCATACATGTATTCACAGGTTGACCCGTGGTTGACTTCTTTACTGTCTTACTAAGATAAGATCACTTCTTTTTCAATAAGTAACTTCTCTCATAAATACTTCTCATCATTAAATATGTTTTCACCAAAAATTTGATAAAATCTGAAAACCAATGCATACCATTCACAACTAATAAATAATGTAGTTTACTATGTTTTAAATTTTACATTGACTATATTGATTCAGACCCATATTTATCAAACATTTCAAAGAACCCCATACTTCTATTTTTTTGGTGAAAATATCATTTCATTCTAGAAAAACAGTAATCAATACATACACACTGGAGGTAATAAATAAATAAATAAAATAAAGACTTCTAGAAAGGATGGGCAAGCCAAGTGAACATCTATCAAAAGTGTTCGTATTCCCTCATTCTCGTTACCAGAAAAAGAAAAATAGCATATCATTTAGTGCTTTTGAATGCCCTTATTCGCAGCGAGATAACGAGTAACTTATTTACAATCGTTTCAAGATAATTTCGGTTTTGTGAAACTCACTGCAAAAAATCGCAAACAACATAGGTTGTTAACTCGAGCCCAAAATAACTATACATGAGGTTGCCAAGTGGGAAAAATGGGAGTCCTCAAGTAGCTGTGTCCTGGCCCTTTTGCTGGTGGACAGCCTCTAGATGTTCCTTGGCCCGATGAACTTTTGACTGAAGGTAGAAACTTCCACTCTTGGCATTGCTTTCGAACAAATTGTCATATTTCTGCACAGGATAATATTTGATCAACCAACATTTACCAAATAGGTAATACCTGAAAACAAGTCTAGAGACACTGACCTTCACAATCTCTTCCCAAGGGGTTTCCTCTGTCACGCCAAGAATCTGCCGAGCTTCCTGCTGTGTCATCACCTTGTTAGCTCTGCGAATGGTATTCTGTATTGTCTCTTGTGCAACACCATTTTTCGAGGCATCTGCAACAACTTGTTATTCATAACGTGACAAAATAAACAGCCACAAAACTTTGGTTGGCGCTTTGAGAGGACACGGAATCCGCCATGCCATGATTATACAAGAACCCCACTAAGATATACTCCCTCAATTCAAAAATATGAGGTATTTTATTAAAAGTTGGATGTTCAACTTTTTAAAAAATGCCATTACATGAAATCAATGGTTTCTTTTTTTTTTTTCTTTAATTTTTTGAAAGGTTGAATATTAAAAAATATAAAGCATCTTTAGTGTTTTAAGATGTAATTAATATATTTTTTCCAAAAAATACCCTTAATGAATGAATCATTTTATTTTTATTTTTAAGAAAAATGCCCTTTTAATAAGGGTAAATATGAAAAAATAGTATTAGTTTGAAGATTGTTAACTAATTTATTAGAGAGTAAAATTTAATTAAAAACACCTTACATTTTGTAACTGAGGGAGTATTTATAAATTACCCCAGAAAAAATCATTCTGTAGAAAAGCTTGATATCTCGAGACAAATAAACCTAATAAAATCATAAACTAAGAGAATGAAGCAAGAACTAGATATTTCGAGCGAAATCAATGGTTTCTTTTCTTTTTCTTTTCCTTTTTTTTTTGTTTTGTTTTTTGGTTTTTTTTTTTTTTAGATAAAGTCTATATTGCAGAGGGCCATTAAGAACAGGATTAACTCTAAGAAGTTCCATAAAAAGTCTACAACAAGGAAGGGGAAGAACAAGATTAAAAGGATGAGAGCTTGAAAAGGGAACATAGGTGAGAGTTACGTCTTCACTTGCTAAGGCAATATACAAACTCTTTGTAGACATAGAAATCTTATTTTATAACTTCTCTTAAAGGTCTACTGGTCTAGACAGAAGTTGCATCCCCAAAATAATCCATTTGGCTAACAAGACTCTTTGAAGAGGAGATAAAAGGGCTATTTGGAGCTCGAGCAAAGACAAATCAACTGCGACGATGGTTTTATGAAGGCATTGCAGATTTGTCAGAAATCATCAAGGTCTTATGAAATTGTTTGTTAAATTCATGGAAATAGCAAAATTGGCAAGGTTACAAAGCCTACGTTATAAAACCTTATTTTAAAACGAAAAACAGCAAAAGAATTATTGGCCAATCAGTTTGGTTACTAGGAATACCAAAACTCGTTCCATCGAGTGGGCTAATGTGTTGGGAGAGGCTTGAATTGAACAAGGCACAATAACATTCAATAAAAGAACTAAATGAAAAAAACCTCAGACCAGAAAATCAAGTATGGTGAACAAATTGCAAACCCAAGCGTAGAAAGAATAAATCTAAGAAACTTTTTTTTTTTTTTTGCAGGATAATTTAAGAAACTTACTAGCAAGAGCTTGACGATAAGCTTGAACAAACGCTCTAGCCAAAATACCACCACCCATCACAATCAGGTTTGCCAGAATCTTTGCGGCCTGTGGAAACAATGCAATTAAACTTGAGATCCGATTCAGAGACAGGAACAGGAAGATTTCTAAAATATGTTCAGGCAGTGGGGGCAGGAGCCTGCTTTTCTTTTAGAATATCAGGTCAATACAATTTCCACTCCCTGTCCTCTTTCTCTATTTCCTTCAAAACTAGAGAAGGAAATAAACAAGAAGGAATCTCGTTAACCTTACCATGGCAAGAGAATCGATCAAATAAACTTCGACACCAAGGCTCTCAAATTCTCCTCTGTGAATTGGGGATTTCTTTGATGTCAGCAAGATGGATCTACTCGGCAATCAAGACAGGTCTTTCGGAATCAGTGACTGGTTCATGGGAAAAAAAGGCAGGCTTTTATATTGGCTGAGTAGAAGAAATAAATGGGAATCAAATTCCACACTTCATAATTCAAGGAAGTATCATTACCGTATAAGGGACCTCAAAAGCCTGTCAATCAATCAAATTGCCCTACAGCGCATCAATTTCTGAAAGGGTGAACAGCGAACTGAATCAGGAATGGATTTTCGTCAAGAAGAAAGAGAGTTGGCAACCTTCGCCGCAGCAAACTAGGAAGAGGGAAGAGAGGGAAGAGAGGGAAACAAGAAAATTCCAGAAACAGGCTCCATGATGCCCTCCGCGCCCCAGAATTAACTAGGGTTGGCGGTACGACCGGTCATCCTTTCCCGATAAGTATATTCGAAAATGAGAATTAGAAACCTGGTTATGCATTCACCTTTATTTATTACTTCCTGCGTTCCTCATCTCACCTCTGACTCACTCTTACCCCCAAGTTGGGAAAACAGCATGGCCCGGCCTAAAAAATCAGTCCTTGATGAGCTCCAGTTTAAAAAAATCAGTTCATCTAGGTCTGAATTTTGGTTGAGGGACTTATATTTAAAACCCAACCCTAAGCATAATAAATTTAAAGCTGGCTCTACAAACTTTGAGCTTTTTTCTTTTTTTATTTTTTAAATTAAAAATAATTCATTCATTCTATTATAATATAAAATTTTATTTTGATATTGAATCATATAGACAATATTTTAATTATTAATATGAAAAATATCTTGATTATGTAAAAATTCTCTTATTTCAAATAATAAAACATTAAAATTTATAAATTCTTAATTCAAGTCATACAATACATAATTATATAAATATAAAAATAATCTATTATTAAAAAATATAATTTAGAAATATTAACACACATATATAATATAAATCAAATTACTGTCTAGAATCTAAATTAGATCAAACAATTATTTTTTTGTCCAAATATATTATTATTTAGAATTAAACAAACTAAACTTTATCCAAAAAATATTAAACAAACCAAAGTATTATGTAAATTTTAATTCTAAAAAAAATATTATAACAACTAAATATTTAAAACATTATTAAAAATATCAATAATATTATTATGATAAATAATTTTTTAAAATATAAATAAATAAATGGGCCTAAATGGGCTAGCCCTCAGCCCTACAAAACTAGCCGTTTAGGCCATTGGCCCATTAAGACTGACCGTTATAAACACGTGTTCTGTTTTGAAGCTTTAAAACTCAAGTTCGGTCTTAGTAATTATCGGGTTTAAATGGACTTGGCTCATTTTCTTGACTCTACCCGAATCAAGGAGTAGCGATTAAATTATCAAATTTATTTTAAAACTAAAAAAATTATCATTCTATTTTTATTTCATTTAAATAAAAAATTTAAATTTATATTACATTATCTCTTATGGTTAATAAATTTAAATAAAAATAATATAAAAAGATAATTAAAACCCATTAAATACGTTGTATTAAAAGTCAAGTAATCCTTCTAAAATGTATTTTATAATATGGAGAGTAGGGAGTTTTTTTTTTTTACCAAAAAACAAAATAGACATTACGAAAGTATCCTACAAAGCATATTCAACTACTTTATTAGAATTCAAAATGAAAGTTAATTCATTAAATATGTTTTAAAATAAATTTTTAAACTTTAACCTTATTAAAAATAGGAATAGAAAGATACAAGATATATAATAAGTCATAAAATTAAATTTATAGCAGGGACAAAATTAAAAAAAACAATACTCTCGCCGTTCAATATTGTGAAGCATTTTTAATTGAATCACGTTTTAATAGATTAGCTAATTGTCTTTAAAATTATACACTATTTTCATATTTATTGTTATTTAATATGATGTTTTAATTGAAAAATTTATTAATGGAACCTCTAATTAAGCACCTCAGCAGGTGTCTTATCAAAAAAAAATTTTAAAATATGTTTTATGATATGGATTAGAGAGAGTTTTTTTTTTTTTCCCGTTACCATTACCAGAAACAAAGTAGACATTACAAAAGTACTATAACGTGACAAAATGCCTTATATTAACTCTTTGTCTGTTTTGCATGAAAAAGTAACATAACCAAACAACCTTTTTCTGAAACAATCTTGAGAAACATCTCTTTTTAACTTGAAATTCATAACTTATTTAATATGATTTTAATTTAATAGTTTAATTATAAGACAAAAGTTTAAATTAATTGTACACGTCGCAAAAAGGTGACTGAAATTGCATATAATTGATTGGGAATATTAAGTTGTCAAGGAGTTAAATGTAAATTCTCTCTTAAAAAATTTGCAAAACACCATTTTTTATGACCTTTTTCAGTACAAAAATATAAGGCATTGAATAATTTTTATAATTATTTTTAAATTATGTCATTACTTTATTTATTATTTTTTAAAAAATGATTTCAATTGTTATTACCATGCACTTGTTTAAAGTATTTAATAAATATAAAACTGAAAAAATGTACATTTTTTCAAAGAGATTAAAGTTTCAAATATATAATGCTTGCTTATTAGATAGTGTTAGGTTGTCTTTAACAATAATAATTTTCACAGATGGGAATACACGGCATTATCTAGAGTGAAATCAAAAGCCAGACTTAAGATCCTGGTTCATGAACCCGCAAAAATTCCTACATCAAATATCATCACATCACATCACATTATGGGAACTGACATGCAGCAATTCACAAGAAAATTACTCCCTCGGCGAATCATTCCTTTATTAAATAATTCATCGGTTAAATTTAAAAAATAATAATAATAATTTTTTAAATTATATAAATAATAATTTAGTTTCTCAAAATATCATGAGTTTGCTGAAATTTCTAAAAACTTTTATGTCATTAATAAATATAACTCACCAAATTGTCCTTGTAACAATATTAAGAATTTGATATATGAAATTGTGATTTATTGTTGCATTATTATAAAGCTAAGAAATAAAATTATAATTATTTAAACAAAACTTGTTATCTTTACTTGTTATTTCTAATACTTATAATAATATCAAGAATTAACATGCAAACTTGTAATTTGATATTGCATTGTTGTGAATATAAAAAAAAATATAATTATTTAAACAAAACTTATAATCATTACATATTATTTCCAATACTTCTAGTAATATCAAAAAGTTGTCATGCAAAATTGTGATTTGTTGTTGTATTGTTGCAAAAATAAAAGGAAAGTTGTGTTATTTAAACAAAACTTATCATCATTTTTTTTTCAACATGAACAATTTAATTATTTATATAAACTTATTAATAACAAAAAAGTCCTTATTAGCTTTAATAGAATTATGATATTTTGGAAAATTAAATTATTATTTATATAATTTAAATAAATTTTATTATTATTTTTCTATTAAATTTTGCTGCCAATAACTCTATATCAAATAATGTTAACTTACTATAGCAATAATTATTTTTCTCATTACATGTCGTCATTGAGACCATGCACGTTATAATCGATTAACTTTGAAATTTTTGCTATGCAATAAATCAAGGGTAAATAGTTGCATCACATATCCTCTTGACAGTGGATTTTTTTTTTTAATGTGCTGTGACAAATTATTGAATGTAATTATCAAAATTATTCAGGCATATACAAGTCTACTTTTATTTGACTTTCTCTTGTTTCAAACTTTAATATTTACTTTTTTTGTTTTTGACAAAGCCTGCTCTCCATCTAATTTGCTCATAAGAACGCGACACAAAACAAAAAGCATACTTTCAAAGACATCCGTTCATCTCAATTGTTCTACAAAATGAGTTTCCATCCCACCTAGAAATTAAGGCCCTATTTAGCATAAGGCATTGAGGGTAAAAATTGGGATTAAGATTGATAAAGCCCATATTAAGATGTTTGATCGGATGAATTAGCTGACGTTTGGGATTGGTGAAGCCTACCTACATGAAATTGGTGAAGCCCATAAGGGAAGGTAGTACTGAAATTTTATTTATTTGATTGAAATTTTACAAACCAAAATGTCCTTCCACTATCTAATCGGTCTTTTCACTTGGCTTCTCCCTTCCATTTCTCTCCTATCATTTTCTCCCCCAATCATCTTGCATCTCCAATTGAATTTTTCATCCCTGTCACGACAAAGCCCTCCATCACCATTCTTCTCATAGTCACTGACAAAATTCTCCTCTGCCTATGAAGATGAGGCTAAGTCATCTTCCACAATATATCTTCCTCAAATCTATCAATCTCTAGAAATGAATTGCCTTCCTCTCGCCCTCCCCTTTCTTCCCTAACACCCCCGACAGCATTTGATAAGAAGAAGAGAGTGAACGTGGGAGATGAAGAGGAAATCATGGAGGTTAGGTTTGACGGTGACAAAGAGGAGGAGATGTTTCAGGGTTTAATTTTTTTATTAATTATAAAAAGTATTATAGTCTTTTCATAATTTATATTTAATTATAAAATAAAATGAAAATAAAGAAAGGGGTGAGCACTAACACCTCAATAACCTAGAGTTTTACTATACATATATAAGCTAACAACCACACACAATTAAAACTATATGCATACATATAATTTCATCAAATGAATTGATGCGGAACAAGAAAGGGGAATGGAGAAGAGAATATAATACAAAGGAAGGGATCAATAAAGAGAATATAGAGACAAGAAAGAAACTTAGAAGAGAGATAAAATAATAGTAATTCTTATTCAATTAAATGTGCTTGCAAATTAAATGAGTCAAGATACTATTTATAAGTCTTAACCTAGCCCTACAAATAAATACATGAAAATCTTAAAATTAATTAACAAGGATAATGATAGATAGGCCCCAAGGTGACCAATAATTCAAATTAAGTCTAAAATGCTAAATTCTAAAAATTTATAAGTCCGGTTCTTAATTTTTTATTTCATTGTGATAAATTTGTAATTTATTTTCAACACATAATATGCATGAATATTTGGGCATAATATTTTTACTGCTCTTTAATTCATAAATTTTCAAAAGCATACTTTGAAAAATAATTAGCAACATGAACATTTGTTTTTAGTCATATTTTTATTTAGCTCTTTTATTAAATTTTATGAAATTATGTTAGATTTTTTATTTTAAATTTTTTTGGAACGACTTATAACTATACATGATGTATGGGCAATAAATTTTGAGATATAATATGTTAAAATTTTTAATTTTCACGTGTTTATAAATTATTAAATACGTTTTCGCTTAATTATTTACACCAAAATTTTAAATCTAATTAGGTGAATGGTTATGGGATAAAATAAGTATTATTTATATTCTTGATGTGTATGAGAATAAAAAATTATAAAATAAACAAGTTATTTCTTACATTTCTTACATGCTGTGGAGAATAAATTTTGAAATTCACGTTGTTATTAATATATATATTTTAAATATGCATGGAGTTAACAAATGAAAAATATGATTG